CTCCCTCTCTCCTCGTTGAATAACTTGAGGTGTAGAAAAAGTTAAAAAAATTTGAAAATTGGCATCGAAAGCGGGCATTACTCGTGAGTCAAGTTAACAACACCTCCACACATGGAAAATAATGAGAGAAGGGGGAGGGAGGGGGTGTTATTTGGGTACTTACCAGCATGCGCTGAATATATGGTGCAAACGATCCAACGTCTACCTGTGTAAGGACTAGTCATCTACACACTCCCTATGAAGAGATAAATAGCCTTACCTTTGTAGTTTACTGATTCCCTTAGAGCATTTATGAAAGCCCCATAGCTATTGAATGTGTAGTTGAATTGACCACCTCCCTAAAAAAATTCTTATGCTCTAATGCTGATAAATTATTTTGGAAATACAGCATGTGAATCGCGTAGAACTGGCGGGAATCAAAGGGCGACTCTTCCCTCCTACTACATGAAAATGAGTACTTTCATTTGACTAAGCGTTTTAATATCAACTACTGCCTTAAAGGCAGCGATCACGATGACTGGAGGGTGGTGCTGTTTTGATCCCAATCATGCCCATGGTCAACCGTCCGTTGGACAAAGTCCAACGAGGGGGTGGGGGTCGTATTTGGGGGTGGAAAAGAGGGGGGGGGTCGTATTTCGCGAGGTAGCGTTAATGTTACAGTAAGGGAAGGGATGATTTTTCATGGAACGGAGAGCGGATTAGGTTGTTGGCCGAGTTAGTTGTGGTAGGTTTTGTGCGAAAAAATTTTGCCGTTATCACATTTCATATATACCCCCGCTCGACGGCAATTCAGAAGGAAAGAGTGGGCGGAGTTGGGTTATGTCGACTTTTCTCAGAACCAAATTGGAGGAAAAAGTGGGCGGAGTTGGGTTGTGTCGACTTTTCTCAGAACCAAATACTATAGAATCAGCCGTGATGGTGAGGGTGGAGAAGGGTGGTGGTCGTTATTGGTGGAGCCTCCTGAGTCTCATGGTGGTGGAGGGGGTCGTGAAGGGTTGACCCTGAGAGGGGGGGGGGTCGTATCGAGGCCCTCTAGAAGGGGGAGGGGGTCGTAAAATTTTCGAAATTGGTCCAACGTGACGGTTGACCCTGGTCACACCCATCACCGCGCTGAGAGTTTTAATCCACCAATTGCTGAGAACGTCGTCAAACCGACCTCCAGCCATCGTGACGACTGCCTCCAACAGGCCATTCATTTGGCGGAAGCATTTAGTAGTGGTAACTACAACCTGGACAGATCAAATTTTAAGTGGCTGTTACTCCTCGTGGTAGTCGGTCTATGACTCTCTAGTGAGTCCACGAAGGAGATAGCTTTCGAAATGCCGTCATTTCTCACTTTTAAGCCTTCACAGCTCTCAAGTTCCAGCCAGAAACCGGTGTAATTGCCAACTGTTAGATTTTGTTGTGAACTTCTTGAGATGTACTACTCTGAAATGGGAGAAGGGGGAGAATAAGAGCATCGGATGAGGCTGTGAATGACGATGGGCAAATCACGCGCATGAGATACCCCTTCCGACGTCACGATTGTGATCTCCCGGCACGGGTTGAGTAATGATAACCACGCAATGCCAAACTTTCAACAGTTATCGGCACTTCGGTACAGGGTCAACCGTCACGTTCGAACATTCCCCCTCTCGGGGGTCCAGTTGCGACCCCCCAATACAACCAGCCTTCCCCCACCGCGACCTCTCCCTCTTCTATAGTATTTGATTCTGAGACCAGTTGACACAGCCCAAAACCTACCTAAAACTCACTTTTTCCCCAAAAATAGCCGTCGGGGGGGGGAGGAGGAGGGGGGGGGGGGGTATATACAACCAGTGAAACGGCAACTTTTTTCGCACGCACCTATGCCCTGCGCCCCTGATGACCAAACGTAACCAGCAGAACTGCGCAATGCGACCCCTCTCCCCTCCCAGAACACAAATGCGACCCCCCCCCCCCCCCGTTCGAACAGTTCGAACGGACGGTTGACCCTGCTTCGGTATTCGACGACAAACTTTGAACGATGACGAAACTCCATAGTGGCTTCTCCATCTTCTCCATTCTTCATCATCAGTTGTATCACCTGTCGTCCCGTTGATCATCGAATTGCTCGAGCGGGCGCCAGCAACGTCTCCATTCGTCCCTGTCGCGTGCAAGAGTGGTCCAGTGGATCCTCCTCGCTCGAGGGACACGAAGTCCTTCATTCCTTTCGTTCAGAGCTTTCGTGAAGAAGTCTGACCATCGGGCCGGCGGTCGTCCAGGTGTTCGTTTGACGTCCCGAGGGATCCAACGGTCATCGCAAAATCGCATGACGTGTCCGGCCCACCTTATCTTCGATTCCTTGGCGAAAACGGCAGCGTCCCTGATCTTCGATCGTTGGCGTAGTTCGGAACTCCGGATTCCCCTCTGCACTTGCGTGTATAGGGTTACTCCTAGCATCGTCCTCTCGACAGCGCGTTGGATAACGCTGACCGCATGCTCGTCCTGCCTGCGCAGAGTCCAAGTCTCTGAGGCGTAGGTTAAGGCAGGAAGGGATTTTAGCCGCGCCTGTTGCCATCCCCTGGGTAGCAGATAGGCGAACAAGCATTTATGTCGCGCCCCTTTTGTCGCTTGAAAGCGCGCGACAAAAGCGCAGAGGCTCGGTCCGCGCGCAACTCGCATCTTCGTTCAAGCCTCACCCTCGCGCTGATGGTTTGCCACGGTGGCGCTGCTGGGGGAAAGGCCGCGGGATGCATTTGATGCAGCGCGTCCCATTGCTGACCGATGTTGTTTGGCCACGTGGAGCAAGCTAGAGTTAGCGGTTCGTTGAAATCGCCAAACGGCGCCCTAGTCTCCATCCAGTGGAATGCGGCCTGGATAGGGGTGTCCCTAAAGGGCCGTAATCGGTGATTTCGGGTTGCTTCTCAGTCTCTTTGCCACACCAACTCCGCGACTATTATTTTCATAGTCTGAACACCTTTTCTTACACCCAATTTAACACGGATCTCGCCTTTACCCGAATCATTGGTATCAGAGCTTCAGTAGAAAACGTACCTGGTAGAAAATTGTCATGTTTTCGTTAAACTTGGCGATATTCGAAAGTGGCGTTCCTGGTTTGGCCATGATTGCGCACATATCCGGAATGCCATGACCGAACGCGTATCCCTTAACGTATCTCACTAAACAACCGGTAATGACCCTAAGATGAGACATTGCAAACTTTAATGGTAAGATTGGCCTCACTGAAAAAGCAAAAAAGCTAATAGGGGAAAAGTTGACAACATTGCATGGTTTGCTATATTAATATCTAAGTTGAAAAACTTTGCGAATTCAACAGACAGATTCGGAGGTGAGACATTTGAGCCATGAAGGGCAATACGCTCTTCTTGGAGTTGACCTGACCCTACCAACCTTCCCTTGTCAGTTAAAGGCACGAGTCAGGATTGAATTGATGCGTTATTTTGTTCAAACATTAGGCAAGGGGTGCAATGAGGAACATTAGTGAGGAGAAAAAGCAAAAAGCACCATAGAAAACACTAAATTTCCCTTAGGAGGCCGGCCGTAGTACGACGGAGAGACACAGCGCTGCGAGGAGAGGGAGAACGCGAGATAGTACGTCATACGTGAGAGACGCAGAGACCACGTATGCCGTGGTGGATTACGCTGGCAGCGCGGGCAGCGCGGCGAGCAAGGCCTTAGCGCCATTACCGCGCACTTTTGGGTCACGACAGTGTCGTGTCCTTAGTGCTTGGGGAGCCCACTATCACACCCTGGGAAGAACTTCTGCTGGTTGCCTAATCCCTGACTCGTGGCGCTTTAAGGTGAAGGCAGGTGAACGAATAAGTTGCCCGCCAACTACGAGAACATGAACAGGGTGGTCCAAAATTATGAGGACCGCGTGCGCGCGCAGTCATATCCACTTTTTTCCGTATCGCTCCATTTTCATCTCGTTTTCTGTGCACTATGTGAAAGGGTACAATGTCTTCTTCCTAATGAAACCAAATTTCATGAAGTTCTCAAAACTAGTGAAATAACTACTTCACTTTCGAGTCAGTCCTCAAATTGAACTCACTAGGGGCTCTGGCACGTTACATCTAGCAGCAGTCTAACCTATCAGAGAAGCCCTTATGAGCACCAGTTCAACTCTTCAATAAGTTTGGAACCACCACAGATGGAAAATTCGGGGTGGACTCGATATTCCGGACAGATCAGATGCAGAAACTTGCTCTTTTGTTTTTCGCTTTGTTCGCTACTCAAAAATGACTAAAAAAAGAATCAATGTTGATAAACCCAGGTAGAGCATTTGTAGATTAGTTATTACGAATCTGTAGTGGATAGAAAGCCACACGAGTAGTCTACTTGGAACTTCTTACAGGACCGAGCACCCAAGAATAAAGCAAAAATCCTCCAAAAAGCGATTTTTCGAGTTCGTTGCTTTCGAAGAATTGTTACAATGGAACCATCCACCTAATAGCTCTAGATTTCTGTATTTCACACCCTGGATGCAAGCGCAAATAAATGCAACACAAAAGTTTGATTCCCTGAAGAAGGCAGAGCAGAAGGCCTGGAAACATTTGGACACGCCTTAGTTGCGTGCCACCGCACGCGCCATCCCCTCATCCGAAGGCTCGTGTTAACGGGGGGAAGTGGCAGATCTCAATTCTATTCTGGAATTACTTTGAGGTAAGAGTTACAAATACTTCCCTGAAGTTGGTTTGTTCCATCAAGCTACTATGCGTTTTTAACGACACAATGTCTTGGTCCTCATAATTTTGGACCACCCTGTATATGCCTTGAGCATACCATTTGGATTCGGCTGGAGCACACAGAAATCTCCAATCTTCACTTCCTTTGCGAAAGCCATATACCTGGTAGGGTGAAAGATAAACTAGCTAATTAATGTACACTTTTGCCTAGTGTGGACCTAATCTCATGGTTTCTTGATCAAAAGGGATGGCACTTACTTGTTGCAACTTTTCATACCAGTAGCCAGCCTCAGACAAACTTACCCTTGTATTGTCCCCACTGTATTGAACGGCACCCGCAAATTGTTCTATGAGGCTAACAAAAAAGAATTGCTTGTCAATTTCGAAGACGTCTGAGACATCGTCCCAGGGCGGTTTGAGTCTGAAATCGTACCTGACTAAATTTGAAAATGGTAATAGAAAAACAAGGCGCCTGTACAAAGAACTGAATTAGTTCCATAGAAATATATTATAGCGAGCATATACAGGGGGACCAAAAAAAGACATTTTGCCCATGTCGCACTTCGGCCCTTTTTTCTTCGCAGAGATTGCCGTCGTTGACGGAAGTTCCTCAGCAAAGTATTCCCTAAATGTCCCTCTATAAGTAACGCAGGCCCTCCTTCACTGCCCTCACCGTCTTCAGAATATGACGTCATCTGTCACCGTCGTCAAGCTCAAGGAGGCCTGTAACTGCTTCAGCCTGAAGCTCTTACATAATTTCGTGAATCGATTCAATGTTGGATAGTTTCCTAGAGACATTAGCTCCCACTATGCAAGCCCCCTCAAAACTAGCTTTTCGTAAGGCCGATGTCAGACTTTGCGAATCGCGCGATTCGCTACTAGCGATTCGCGCGATTCGCTAGCGTCCGCGGTCGCGTTGCGGTACCAGCCAATTGAGTGATTCACTGGCCGCGACGCGACCGCAGACGCTAGCGAATCGCGCGATTCGCAAAGTCTGACATCGGCCTAAAGGTCGTTATGGTACACGATCCTTCGAAGACCCCATTGAGCTCGACCAGTGCACCATGTTTCCGGGGCAAATTTTTCTGATGCCGTCCACGTAGGTGGCCACTATGAAGATTTTTATAGAATGAAATGTGCTCTTCAATACTAAGTTGGGACCATTCGGTTTGAATTGAGCAAAGTGTGATTAAATCCAATAATAACCATCTGAAGTGGAGACAAAATGTCTTTTTTATTGCCCCCCTGTTCAGCAGCAAGCAGCGAAGAATGATTTTTAATCCTTCAGTCTAACGTTCACTTGTCAATGAGCTGATTAGGTGAAGGTGTTCAACATATTATCTAAAACATTTAGAAATCTCTGCAACTTAGTTGGAGGTTCTCAAATTAACCAAATTCTGAAGTGTCTCATATAAGGGGGGGGGGGGCAATCAAAAAAGGCATTATTTCTCCACATTCAGATGGATTCAATCACACTCTGCTCAAATTCAAAGAATGTTTCCAACTTAAAATTGAAAAGCGCATTTCATCCTACGAGGATCTCTTCATAGTGCCACCATATATTGCGACGACATGCAGAAAAATTCGCTCCGAACATGGAGCACTGTCGCACGGCTCAGGGGTCTATCGAAAGTCTGACCAAACGACCGTTTAATGAGAAGCGAGTTTCATGGCGACTGTGCATAGTTGGGTGGGCAGTGAGAAGGTCTGCGTCAATTACAGAGGACATTCTAAGGTATTATTTATGCTGAAAACTTCCGGTCAACTGACGTCAATCTCCGGTGAAGCAAAAAGGGCCGAAGTGCGAGTTATGAGGGAAAATGTTTTGTGGGACTCCGTCAAAAGCATAGGTTCACCCTATTTGTCATTGATATCTCTGGAACAAATGAACGATTTATCCCCAAATTTTTACCAATGCCTCAGGCAAGTTGTATTGATATTTTGTGATTAGTCTTAGAATTAAAGCAAACAGATTTTTTTCTGATTTTTCTCTTCGAAGCTATGGTGTCCCAAATGTATAGTACTTCAGTATTCAGACTTTTTAGATGATATACTTGACATAATTAACAAAAACAGTAACAGTTGCAATCTTGCAACATTTCCCTTCTTCTAGTGGTTTCAGTCATCCGCTTTGGCGTGCTCAGGATGAGCTTTGATTTATCCTATTTTATTCTATTTAATTAATAATTGTAGAATGGTACTGCCAAACATACAAGGGAAGCAATTAGAAGTCATCTTTACAACCTTCTTATATCAACTTCCTCTTCTTCCTTCTTAGGAACTCATTGCAAAAGAACCAAGCAAGTATATTTTTGGAACGCCATGGTTGAAAAAAAACAGATGGAAGTCCGAGTTTTTTCCATTTTTTAGGTGTTGTTGAAAAATTGACACAGCTTCCATGAGATGAGATCGCTGGTAAAGATTGTAGCGAAATGGTTATCTTCGAAATCGAAAAGGATGGGATGGCCTTATATTTTCGGGACAGACTGTGTTTACTTTCGCTTTATGTGTGTATTTATATTTATACTTTTATACATATTATGTACTCGATATAACCACTAATCGCATGGCTGAGATCACTTTGGCTGACCCCCAAGTGATTCTGTGTGCATATTACTTTTTTATGCGAATCCGATTCTTTGAAAGGCCCCTTATCTTCTGAGGTTGAATCATTTCACGCAATGAGCTAGACTTCGCGATTCTGAACTATCTGGTATATTGCCCCTAACCAGGAAGGTCTTTCAGGGCGTGCCAAGCTTTTTGAAAACGGTCTTTTGCATGATATAGGGGCACATGCGGGAACCACAGAACCATGGTTAATTTTTCCTGAACGGCCCTCTGAATACCAGAAAAGGGGGTCCCTAGTTCGATTCCTCGTGGTGACAAATTTTTGCATTTCGAGTTGACGTTTCAAAATTCGCGCAAAATGGAGTTAGCATGAATAATTAGTACCATATTCATTTAGGACCGTCAGTAACCCTTACAAAATAGACTTTGATTAAAAAACTGGTGAAAAAGGTGTGACACCACAGTGGGGCTGCTTGATGTCACACCTCTCACACCAATTTTTAAGTCAAAGTCTTTTTGTAGGGGTTACTGACGGTCCTAATCATGAATATGGTACTAATTATTCATGCTAACTCCATTTTGCGCGAATTTTGGAACGTCAACTCGAAATGCAAAAATTTGTCACCACGAGGAATCGAACTAGGGACCCCTTTTCTGGTATTCAGAGGGCCGTTCAGGAAAAATTGAACATGGTTCTGTGGTCCCGCATCTGCCCCTATATCATGCAAAAGACCGTTTTCAAAAAGCTCGTCACGCCCTGAAAGACCTTCCTGGTAAGCGATCTTACTACGCAGAGTCAACCCTGCGTTGCGCAGTTCGCAACGGCACGTTGAGAGATCGCTGTATGGGCGGAGACGCAGACGGCGTTGACATGGACAGTGTGAATTTTCGCCGTGAGAGAGCCGTGTCTAATCGGACGAACTGGCAAACGCAGGATGACTCTGCATTACACGGTTCGGTAGGTGAACAAGCAAGTAGTTACGATGTGTTACAGAAAGAGAAAAATTGGTAGTAGATCTGTGCGTATAGACGACACAAACAGCTTAAGAGAAGGAATGCCTACTTGAAAGTTTCCGATAGTTTCTGTCGTCCAGTTCTTGTGAGCATTAGCTGATGAATTTCTTCAAAACCCTAAAACATGTGCATTACAGCATTCAGTTTGCTGCTCTAAGCTTTGCTATCAAATAGTGGGATTCGTCCGATGCCGTTTTAAAGGTGCTCCAGTTACTTTCAATCGTGTTACCTTGCTCACGATACCTGCGGGATTTGATGCCTCCGACAACATGAGTATTCTGACCATTTGTGTGTATAGAAGCTCAACCTTAAAGGAATCTCTTCCACGGAAAGACTGCTTATCCCTTTCCTTTGTACAGGTGTTGGGCATGGTCATTGAAGACCATATGCAAAGTTCAGAGCGAAAATGATGAAACCCCCAAGAGAAACAGCCCTTGGAAAGACCCATCTGTGGGACCGGATTGGACCAGTAGGCGGGACCGGAAGTGCTTCTGTGACGAAGTGCGTGGCAGGTGCGGATCCACGTGTCAGTTTATGGGAAGGGCCCAACATGAATCCAGTTCACGTTCACGCTTTTGACACGTTTGCACGTGTTGACTCCACGCCGCTAACAGTTGTGGAAGTTTTACAGCGGGAATTCAAAATTTTCATAGTCGAACTGGTTATCATAATTATTATCAAAACCATCGCCTATGTTCCGTTCTTTTTGCTATCTTCATGAAGCAAGGGCCTAAGGTATCGTTTTTTGTAGGAATGGAGGCGATGTTTTTCCGTGGAGATTCCTTTAATCACAAGAACTGAATCGCTCAATGAAAGTCAATCGTTCCTGAAGCGTGTCACGCATTCAATTACTATCCAAGCCCGATGTGGCCGTTGAATGTGTAATGGAATATTAGATTCGAAATATAATTCCTAATCTACCGTAGAAATCCAACTTCGCCTCCAGCGGTGCTGAGGAACCGATGGCTCCATAGACCAACTCAGGGAAGAGTTCGCGCATCCACAGTGCCAGTGATCCTGAAACAGTTTGATACTCTTGTATTAGGTTGTCCAATAAGAATGTCGTTTTTCTCTAGGTGGAAGTTCTTCCTGATTTCTCACGTCTTTTCGTCATGTTTTACACTATTGGAAGAGAGTTGCCTCTTCCTAGAGAATTCTTCGCCTCTGCTTCACATTCAACTCAAACTTGTCGAAGTTCCCGGCTTGTGAACTGGGAGGTATAGTCAACGAGAATTAGCCGAACCAGCACCTAACTCTCACTCTGTTGCTAGGAAAATTGAATTGGGTCTCTTCGGCGATTTGTTTTTTTTCTGGTTGAACTGCTTGAGAACATGCGGTTCTTTTATACTTTAATTTTTCACTCTGTTTACCGCATCTATAGTTATACATTCTTTCCTATTTTCTGCTATATTATCCTGTTTTGATCGGTTTTATCGTTTATTTTGTAGAGAATGGTTCAGATTTTAGAAGACTTGGTCCATGATATTTCCAAGCCTCGCGAGTTTGTACCACATACCCCAGAACATTTTTCGCTAACAAATGATAATGAATCAGTCAAACTGCACTCAGAATTATCAATACATTAAAAGCAGAGTTTAGATTGGTTTGGTGATGGGAACTTTTCGGATGCTAAATATCGACACGATAGCGTCATCGAGTAAGCCGTTTAGACAGAGTGAGCACCCGAAGTAAAGCGTGAATTACGATGTTCCTGCCGTAGTCACGTACAATGCGCGTCGCATCGACGCGATTTCCGCAATGACAATTCTATAGGTTATGCTCACAATGAGGCTACCACCGCTGGGCAGCAATCCAAGAATGGATGAGCGTCGCAGCGTTCGCCTCGCCGCTCACGCGGCGAGGCTTCGCTGCGCGCGCTGGGGGAGGTTATCCCCGGGTGCCGCGCTAGACTAGGCGCGAGGCCACTCTGGCGTGCGTGCCATCCTCCACCTCCTACATGAACGGCGCTCAGTATAGTTGGCGGGTTGGCTCGACATATTCTCTCTCCTTTGAGAGAGCGCAGAGAAAACGAATAGTGGGAGGCGAGCACGCACTTCAGCGCGTCAATGCGTCGCGCATTGTACGTGACTACAGCAGAACATTATAATTCACGCTTTACTTCGGGTGCTCGCTCTGTCTAAACGGCTTAAGTCGCGGTCAACCATCGTTTTGGCGAAAAACCAAACTTGAGAAAAGAATGAAAATTTCAAAGTCCGTACCAATGGATTTTAGAAACAGGTCAGAGGTAATACTAACCAGAGTACGATCCACCGAAGAGGATCCATTTAGGGTCAGCCAAATCCATCTCAATGTTGACTGTCCGTATAAAATTGGCCACATCATAGAGCATTTGCAGGGATGATAGATATGACAAATATGGTTTGTTCTTGAACGCTTCACCTGCTCTACAGAAAATAATTATTGTTAGTTGAATTGTCGAAAATAAAATGTGTGAAAATAAAATATAATATAATAAGACGATTAGATAGATTCTTACCCGAGCAGATGGCTATCACCATAGTATCTGTGTTCTAGGTGATACACAGTTGCTCCGAACTTTTCCGCCCATTTAAGATAGGTGAGGTTCCCATTGAGAACCCACGAAGAGCGTGCCGGTGACTCGCCACCAATCTTTAGGAAGATTGGGCCACCTGACTTGGCCCATTGTTCGTTTTTGAAGTATTTCTGCAAAATATGGTTCATTTTGATTTCTCTGATAGGTTTGACCATCAGATTTTATCTTTTCCACGTCTCCAGATTTCATAACGAGTCTATGTATGATCCGGAAATATTATTTCGCTATGGCACTCTGTTCTAGACATCCATGTGGCCACTGATGCGCGGTATCAGACAGGAGGCCCGTCGCGCGGCAAGAAGGCAGAGTCGCAGCGCGTACTGTAGTTTTCGCGTCAATTCAATTAGAATGTACCATTGTACGTCCTACATCGCACAGCACACGCTGCGACTCGTCCGCGACTCTGCCTTCTTGCCGCGCGACGGGCCTCCTGCCGGGTACCCCCTGATGCGCGATATTCAGCTCGTCCTGGCTTGCCACTTTGGGTAGCTCATCTCAGACCGATCCACATTGGAACTGTAGTATTCTCGCGAGAAGCCTTATCCTTTAGACTACTACTTTTCAGTAATTCTACTAATGTGCTTCGTACAAGAATGTCCTTCTTAAGAGGCCATTTATCAACTGCAGAGATCTGTTGGCCTAGGCAGGAATAATTTCCGGGATTTGATGCCCTAACCATGCGCGCGGTAACGGTCTCCTTGGCACTATACCAACCCTGTATAAATGTGAATGTGGACTGAATTTATGCCCGAGAACTATGCGAAGAAACCCTCTGTAGAGGTGCCCGAGAAGGTGCTGTTCCTGGCTCTGGCAGGTTATCATGGGCTGGAATCAGAAACTATGTCGTCGTCAAAATCTTCCATTTTGCCAACCTGGACGAGCTCTGCGTTTTCAAAGCTTTGAATTTGTAGAATGTCCACTGGTTTGACCCTTTCTGTCGATTGAATAGAATAAACAACACCCAAAACACCGGGTTTGATTTGAAGCCCCTAATCGTGTACTAAAGATGACGCACCTGATCAAATGTATACGGGTTTCGATTGTCAAAGTGATCGACGGGTTGAACAAAGTACCCGATCTCGAAACTTTCCGGTATGCTTGACTGCTGAAAAGTGAGATTTTTGTTCCATTCACAAAATTTATACTTATTATTATTTAATTTTTTGTTCTGATCTGCAGTTATATTCAGTGACTGGTGCCAATATTGGCACGCTCATGGAATACGATGAACTCTTAGAGCGCGCACTACGCTGACAAAAAGCTGATAAACTAGATGCTCGGGTTGGCTCTACAGTCTCGCTGATAGAATGTGAAACCACCATTGCTTGAAGGCTCCAGAGGTCCATTTATAGAAACGGTGCTGCTATTCACGAAGCAGCACTCCGTTTCTCCCTTCCCACACGGCACTCAATGTGCTTATACACTATCACCGCTTTTCACATTGAAGGCGTTGGATTTTTAATCAATGCACTTCAAAATAGAATGTGTTGTGTATTTCGTGGTCTGAGATTCTTACTTCAAAAGGGTGTTTTTGCCTATCCGTCGAGGAGTGAGTCGCGTGGCCAAGCGATCCCACAGAAAGGAGGAGAGCCCGGCGTCAGCTGGACGATTCGACTGATTCATTGTTTTGGAGCAACCAGAAAGCTAGTATCCAAACCGTGACCGCTTCCAACGTTACCAAAGAGAATGAGGGCTTGTTTACGAGGGTTTTACGGTTTTTTCTGATCTGCACATTTGATTGGAATCAATTCATCGTAATGGCTGCCCTCACAATTATAGGTGGAGAACAAAGAGCGAGCGTGCTTCAAATCTCTCCTGCTCAAATAAGAGCAGGAGAGATGTGGAGCGCCTGATTTTGTGCCATCTTTGATGCCATTTACACATAGCAGTAACGGGGCCTGTTCAATACAGGCATACGAACCGTGGTCGCTGGAAAGTATAGCCGCGGCTTCGATGGCTTGACTGAACACCGAGATGGTTTTGGATTTGTTGAAACCTTTCAAAGTCTTGTGCTATGTAATAAGATCCCTAAATTGCTTGCGAGCAATTATGTGCTTTACAAGTCGCAGTCGCATGGCTGACTGGAAAGCGGGCGTAGCGTTTCAACAACGAAAGCTGCGCTGGTTGCATGTAGCAGTACCTGGAAGCAGGGTCAACCGTCCGTTCGAACTGTTCGAACGAAGGGGTCGCATTTTGGTCGGAAGGGGGTCGCAATTTCGAGGACTGCCAGCCACAGGCGCGTGCGTGGCGTATCCGAGGGCAAGAATTGTTTGTGCAGACCGCATTAGATTCGATTATTATGCACAGAGAGACAGTTTTAGGCAAATTACGGTGTTTCCTTGAGGAATAAAGAACAGTTGAATGCATCCCTATGAAAGGTTTGACTTCTCGGGGCTGAAATTAAAGTTCTTCGGGACCTAATTTTCTGAGGACGATTCTTCCAGACAACGGTAAAACACATAAGAAAGCAGAAATCTCGTAGTCTTCAAAAATGTCTTCGCCCCTCCCAACAAGTTCTTTGAAGGAAGTTATTATTGCTGAAAGCTCAAAAACTCGCATGTGCTGCTCAAAAACCTATGGGAACAAAATGTTCGAACGTGTGATTTTCTCGGAAAATGGATTTTGAAAAACGGTTTGGGCTTGTTAGAAAGAGCAAATCCTGTACTTTCACCCCATGAAAAAAGTGCATCACAGAAATGAAAATGAAGTGAGTTATGGTCGCTGAAAGCCCAAAAACTCGCTTTTGCACGAAAAATGTTCGAACGGGACAATTTTGAAAAGGGGACAATCACTAAACTTTTTATACTGTTTTGTTAGAGAAATATTTGAAGTTTCTGAAACTTTTTACAGATTTCCAAAATGTCGCATACGAAAGATTTTATGGGCCTTCAAAGTTGAAGGTGCGCCTTCTTAGAATTTTGGGTTTTCCACTTCTAACAGAAGTACTTTCCGGAGAGTTAGGCAATCCTTGTAGTTTTCTGAAAGCGCACCTCAGGCACAATCAAAATCTACCTCAACAAGTCAAAAAATACGTCCCAAGAAAGTTATTCCCCTCTAAAATTTTTTTCTTCGCCGCGTCCCGTTCTTCCAGCGCCCGGGTGATACCTGCCGCGCTCCAAGGCTGACGCCGCAACGCAGACGCTTCTGCGGCGGCGGCGCAGACGCTTTCTGGCGCAACGGATTCATGTCTAGCACTCTTATTAACAAAAACAGGGGGTCGCAACTGGACCCCCTCGAGAGCTAGGGGGTCGCAAAAATCCCGAAAATGTTCGAACGTGACGGTTGACCCTGCTTGAAATGCCCAAACCAGAGTCAACCCTGCGTTGCGCAGTTCTCAACGGCCACGTTGCGCAGTTTCGCCCGATTAGACACGTTCTCTCGCGCGAACATTCACACTCGCATGCTCGAGCCGTCTGTGTCTCCGCCCATACAGCGTGCGTTGAGGATCTCTCAACGTGCCGTTGCGAACTGCGCAACGCAGGGTTGACTCTGCCACAACCAAGCACTCGCCCACTAGTTAAATGGTTATCATGACGAGCTGCGTTAGTTGAGTTATTATCTAAGTTGTGCGCAAAACAAGACATCTTATACATAAACTATTTAGGAGCGTTTATAACGAAAGAAATGTATGATTTGTCGAATGATTCGGAACTGCCCCTCCTTGTGTACACAGCGGCCTAAAGTAGTTGAAGATAATGGAATATATACCAAGGCCGCTGTGCGTACTGGACGGTAAAGGGAAAATGCAATATCAAATATGTCAGCCCCTGAGCACATCATGGCAACAATTTATAAATATTAGCGTCGCGTCATAATTTTTTACGTTTTACAGTGCGTTGTGATTGTAAAAACTTTGATAAGTATTAGCCAGCTTTCAAGATGTCCTTCAGCACAACCAGTATCGTCTATCCGATAGCTATTCCATTGTTGCTAGTTGGACGTTACTTTAGCTACGATTCCCAATTTCTTGCGAGAAGTATGTTCCATGTCCGGTCTTCTTGAAACCTGGGCATTCCGATTATTTCTTGCTTCTGTTTAGCCTTCCAGGTTTGATATGGTGGAACACTTTATTGGTCGACGTTTCGAACAAATCGTCGTTTTCAAGACCTAAAAATTGGTTCGAAGCTCTAGTTTGTAGCCTATCCGCTCACACCCCACTAGTACCAAATGTTACGCTTCTCAGTAATCTCAAACCAAGATAAGTTCCAGCTAAAACCAACCTCTTACGGCTCCACCAATACTGGGTCCCGCTCGGTTCCGTGGACAGCTGACGAAAAATGAGACACCCTCACTCAAACGTAGTACGTGCAGTGCGTGATGATCTCACAATTCGCATAAGGGAATGAAAGGCAGGAATTCACTCGTGACGGCCATGCACTCATTTCGGTTGTTCAGCTTTGGATTTCGCACACGGATGTAAAACGCTTCTAGCATTTTTCTAGCACCGACATCATGTTCCTGGGTCAGGATTTTACATTCTATATCAAAGTCATTGCCCGCATGTTTTTCAAACCGGTGCTTGCCAAGCGGAGTGAGAAGGCTTCCACGTCTTTTCCCAGCCAGGTGTTCTTTAACGCGTATACTAACATCCTGCCTGTTTCCTTTCTGAGCCTCTTTCTTCATGACTACCGATTAGGATCTTCCACGCGCCAAGCTGAATGGAGGATTAACCAGATGTTAGTTGAGGGCACGCTCTCTCAATCCACAGTTACCTCTACTCAGGGTTCCCTCCTTTTATTTGAAGAAAATCACACTCCAACCACCCCGTGACTAGCAATCTCGATGCTCTATCCGGCGCCATTGGAAAGGAATCTGAACAAAGTGGGCGCTATTTGTCAGAGCGCTTTTGGTGTTACAAGGTGAGAGTACTGAGACATCTCGATAAAGTCGCTAAGGTTTAAAATATGGAGTTTGTCTCTCACATGCTCTGAGCCCGAATCAGCTCTAAACCCGATCTGACATCATCATGTTCCTATTGGTTTCCCATAGTTCCTTCGAATGACCATCCATCATACTCACCGGTGATGTGGACTGGGTGCAGTGTGCTAACAAGCCGCAGTAGCTTAGCTCAAACGATTCGGGAGTTCTGACAGCAAAAACCCAACTCCCTCTGAATTCGAAGTCGTTGGCGCAATACGGAGGGCCTTTGCGCTGGGAACCGGCACCAACTAATACCAGTGTCAGTGATGGGAGAGAATCGTTGACAGCTTGATGGCAACGCCTTCAACTTGAAAGCAAAGGTAAGACAAAATCTATTTTTTCTGAGGTCGTTCGAGCCCACCTTGCTAAGAAAATTCCATGAAAAATTGGAGACTCTCGGGCGGTCAGTTCTTTTAGCTCCGCCTTGTAGCACTAATCCTGCGTCAACGAACGACTATCCGCTCTCCTCTCTCAATCACCTTCTGGAGAAGAAATCTTACTTGAATCACCATGAAGTCAAAATCGACATCCAATTTTTCTTCGATCAGAACTCTATGGAATTCTATAATACAAGAGAGATATTGAATATGTGCCCTCGCATTAGCGATATGTTGCTATAATGGTTATGTATACTATGTTGAATAAATACATCAGAGAAATAAAATAAGTAATTAAATCGAAAACACCCAAAGGGTCTCAAAAATTATGGACCGACCTAATAAATGTGCAGTTATGCGCTCAATACCTACAAAATGAAAATACTGACCATGATTGGTTCTGGAAGAAATCCATGCGGTGGCCTTCCGAGATGTACTTTACGTAGTATTTTGCTCTGTTCAGGGGACATTTGTAGTGGTCGAAGCCTAAAATGGTAAGTTTTGAGTCAACACAAGTTGTTTGGAAGCGTCTGCATGAACTACCTATGAACGCTATAGCAAAGTTCTCAGTGATTACGGATTTGAAAACTATCTTAACCCATTCGTGACAATGTCAGCCACCGGTGGCTGACAAAGCTCTCACTCGGGACAATGGTATTACTGTGGCTGCAGGGCTTGAAATGGAATTTGGAAAGTTTTCTTCCATGGAAAGAATCTTCATACCCTCGCTCATCTACGCCAGCCCTGGGCAGAGGAAATCTCCCTTCACTCGGATTTTATTGAAGAAAAATCTGACGCTGCTGCTATTGCGCAATCCTGCGCGGTCGCGAATGGGTTAAAGAACCTTGAAACTTCAGGTGTCCACACTGGCGAGTGCTGTGTGCCAATTTGAATAAGCATTCTTCAAATCCACTCCGCAGGATTTTTCATCTCCGTCTTATCCACAGGCTTTCGCTTTTCTGTTTCAAAAAGCGTTATTTGACGCATATCCAATAGATATTCACTGTTAGCAGGTGTGAATAGTTGTGCTTACCGCGATAAAACGGGCTCGGATTACCGGTAATCCAATTGTCAATATTTTGAGCGATGAGTTGGTAAAGTACCTTCATTTCTGGTGGGTAGCGTTCTTGGCGCGGGGGAAACATATCGTCGCAGTGTATACCATCTGGATAGTAATAGGTTTCAGTTAAGAAGCTTTTTATGAACAGTTAAAGAAGCCAGTTTTCATGAACAGTTAAAGAAGCCAGTGTTCATGAAGATGAAACTCGGATTGCAGAAAAAAAAGCAGCTAACACTAGATCAGTCCTAGTAACGAAGCTTGTTGGGTAGAAAGGCTCCAAGCAGGGTCAACCACCCGTTGGCACTATTCAAGGGATGGGGTCCATTTTTGATTTCGGGAGAGGGGTCTCATTCTAAGGTTGACTTAGGTGATCTTTGGAGGAGTGCGAAGGGTTGCCATCTAGACGAGTTTGTTCGACAAATTCGGTGAAAGTTCTACGAAAGCGGCAAAATAGGAATATTTTGGAAGATTTCCACTTCGTTATACCAATCTACCCCTTCATCACCATGCTCATGGCGGTTGGGGCTAGAGAAAAGCTCACTGGCGGCGCGGACGCGTGCGCGTGCTGGTGACGTCACAGCTGCGCAAGAGCGTTGAAGGACGAGCAGCGTTGCCGACACTTGGCTCGAACAGTAACCAGGTTGCTGGCACTTCCCTAACACTATTTAATCAATAGTGTGGGGAGGAAATGATTGCATCACGAATGGATGCCATCCTCGCGCTAGAAAATAGAAACGGGCGCAATGTGGCTCCGGGAGGACCAGTCTGTCGGAAGGCCACTAGGACTAAGCCTAATGCAGAGGGACGAATTCCGGAGCGAATGAAAATTGCTTACGCAGCTCGGATTCCCTCTTCTCCTTCCAAAGCTTAGTCCCAAAACTGGGCGAATCGTGAATCTGACGCCAAATTTCCGGCTGCCCCCCCCCAAGTCACATTGCACCTAGAAATGTTTTGAAGAAAGGTTTCCGGAATGTGTCATTTGTAGTACACAATCTGTAATGGAATGAAGAAAGTCATAAGCCCCATGTGTAAACCCTTAGAAGTACACAATCAAACAGAAGCTCACTCCTGTGAGCTCGTTCTCTGATTTCAATCCCCCCTTACTCACTACTTACTACACAGTGAGATCAGTTACAGCTATAAATGCTCGCAGTAAATAATGTATCGAAGAATTGGCGGCAAGCCGGCTCTTGCTCGCTCCCTCGCCGCCGTTGTGACGTCACCAACACGCGAACGCGTCCGCGCCGCCGGTGAGCTTTTCCATGGAGCCATGGCGGTTCCTATTGTGTCGGGCCCAAACAGCAACAGTGTGCCGGGATACTTGATAGATATTGTTTTCCTGACATCTATTTTTGCCACCTTCCTATATTGATTCGTTTGTTCAGTGGAAAATGAAACTGAAAACCTTTGTAACCTTATTATGAGGTTGATCCTTTAGCTTGTTGTTGAAAAGGGTTGTGTACTTGCGAATGTGAAGAATGAGGAAGAAATCCAAAAGAGAGAGCGATGGACTTGAGTGAGTGTATAAAAGAGGCCCAGAGTAGCAATAGACGATTCTTTACTCTGGGTTTGTTGTACACACACATATCAACTGTTGTGAAGTGTACCGTCAAATAATCTTGCTGAATGAAGGTTTAGGAGAAGGGTAAACTAACCCTTTACAACATACGAAACAACAGTAGGATCCTTCGACGTGAGTCTGCTTACCAGATTCCACGGGTCGCGACCGCCGTTTGCAATCACGACATTTGTGCCCTAAAATATAATATATTGAAATTTCAGGCTTAGATTGAGGGCATTCCCCACGTTGAAGTTGGATGGGTAGGGGTCATCCGGCTGATACTAGACCTATCTAAAATGAAGCAGAGGCCGGATTTCTTGTTGGTGAGTTTCCGAAGTCCCACACAGTCAGTATCACCTGGCGTCCCGTTGTTCATCGAGCTCATCGACCACGCGCCACGTCGTCTTCGAGAAGACACCACCACGCCTTCCTTGAGCAGGCGCTTTTACGTTCTCTTGCTCCCTGTCGCATACCAGCGCGTTCAAATGGATCCTCTTCGGTGGAGAATTCATTAGTCCTTTAGTTTGGGGCAATCGTGAAGAATCATCTGACTTCCGGTCGTCTTGGTGTTTGACATCCCGAAAGATTCGGTCGGTGGTCGCTCTGGACCAGCGCAGTAGCGCCCCTGATATCCGAATGTCGATGATCGAACTCCGGATTCTCACCGCACTTGAGTGTTTGGAGTAACTTCAAGCATCGTCCTTAGCACAACGCATCGGATTACGCTGACCACGTGCTCGTCTGCGTATATTCCAAGATCTGAGGAATACGATAAGGCAGGAGGGATTGCAGGATTGAAGATATCAGCGCGGAGCCGGATGTTCTTCGTCTTCTTCACTACTCCCTCGATGTTCTTGTACGCTCCCCAAGCCGCTCGTTTCCTCCTGCTCAGCTCTGGAGCTAGATCGTTCATCATATTGATTTCCCGACCTAGGTACACGTAGCTGGAGCATTCGGTGATGTTCGTTCCGTTGAGCGTGAAAGCTTCCCATACCAGTAGACGCACATCGCTCTCGTGAGCACGCTGGAAGTTTGGGCGATGGTGACGCCCTCACGATTCTGAGAGAGAATAAATTCTGCAAAATGTGCCGAACACCGTGAA